ATTGGGATGCCCTTTCTTTCTTTTGCTTGATTGCTGTAGCTGGTATTTTCTATACTATGTTGAATAATGGTGAATGTGAGTATTCTTGTCTTGTTCCATATCTTAATGGAAAAGCTTTCAGTTTTCCTCATTCAGTATGCTGCTAGCTGTTGATCTGTCTTATATGGTTTTTATTGTATTGAGGTATGTTCTTTCTATACCCAGTTTTTTTTTTTTTTTTTTGAGAGTTTTTTTTTTTTAAATCATGAAGGGATGTTGAATTTTATTGAATTCTTTTTCAGCATCAGTTGAAATGATCATATGGTCTTTGTCCTTCATTCTGATATAACATATTGCATTGATTGATTTGCATATGTTGAACCATCCTTGCATCCCTGAGATGAATCCTACTTGATCATGAGGAACGATCTTTTTAATGTATTGTTGAATTTGGTGTGGTGGCATTTTGTTGAGGTTTTGCATCTGTGTTTGTCAGAGATATTGGCCTGTAGTTTTCTTTTTGTAGTGTGTCTTTGTCTGCTTTTGGTATCAGGGTGATAACGGCTTCATAGAATGGGTCTGGAAGTACTCCCTCCTCTTCTATTTTTTGGAATAATTTGAGTAGGATTGATATTAGTTCTTCTTTAAATATTTGGTAGAAATCAGCAATGAAGCCATCAGATTATGGGCTTTTATTGATGGGAAACTGTTATGGCTGCAATCTCATTACTTTTTATTGGCTGATTAAGGCTTTGGATTTCTTTTTGATTCAATCTTGGTAGGCCATATGTGTCTACAAATTTATCTGTTTCTTCTGAGTTTTCCAATTTATTGTCTATAGTTGCTCATAGTCTTCTCTAATGATCCTTTGAATTTTTGTGGTATTGTACTTTGTGAATGTTTTTTGTAATGTTCCCTTTTTCATCTCTGATTTTATTTATTTGAATGTTCTCTCTTTTTTTCTTAATTAGTCTGGCTAAAGGTTTGTTGATTTTACTCATCTTTTCAAGAAGCCAACTTTTCATTTCATTGATCTTTTTATTGTCTTTCAGTCTTCATTTACTTCTGCTCTGATCTTTGTTTCTTTTGTTCTACTAATTTTGGGTTTGATTTACTGTTTTCTAGTTCTTTAAGATGTATTGTTCGGTGGTTTATTTGAAGTTTTTCTACTTTATTGATGTAAGCACTTTATTGGTATCAGCTTTCCTCTTAGTACTGCTTTTGGTGTATCCCATATGTTTTGGTATGTTTGTGTTCTTCATTTGTTTCAAGGAATTTTTCACTTTCCTTTTTAATTTTTTCATTGACTGGTCTTTCAGGAGCATGTTGTTGAATTTCCATATGTTCGTATAGTTTCCAAAATTATTCTTGTTACTGATTTCTAGTTTTATTACATTGTGGTCAGGAAAGCTACTTGATATGATTTCTATTTTTATAAATTCTTTTAGACTTGTTTCGTGGTCTATCATATGGTCTATCCTTGAGAGTATTTCATTTGCTCCTCAGCACTCTTAAGATCTTATTGCATGGTCTTTTTGTCTTAATTTTGAAAATATTGGCCGGGCACGGTGGCTCATGCCTGTAATCCCAGCACTTTGGGAGGCCGACACCGGTAGATCACCTGAGATCAGGAGTTCGAGACCAGTCTGACTAACATGGTGAAACCCCATCTCTACTAAATCCCCCCCAAAAATTAGCTGGATGTGATGGCACATGCCTGTAATCCCAGCTACTTGGGAGGCTGAGGCAGGAGAATTGCTTGAACCCAGGAGGCAGAGGTTACAGTGAGCCGAGATTGCACCATTGCACTCCAGCCGGGCAACAAGGGTGAATCTCCATCTCAAAAAAAAAAAAAAAGAAAAGAAGGAAAGAAAATGTTATTCTCAGTTGTTCCTTTTCAGGTAGTCTGTGTTTTTTCCCTTTAACTTTGAGGATTGTTGTTTTGTCTTTGGTGTTTAATGGTCATATTATAATGTATTAATATATAAGCTTATTTGTATTACAAGTTAAGTTAGAGAATTAATGTATTTTATTAATTTTGGAAATTCTTAGCCATTACTTTTTTGACTAGTGTTTTTTTTCTATTATTTAAAAAAATTTATTTTGAAATTACTTTAAACTTATGGAAAGTTTAAAGGATATATACATAGAATGGAGTATTATTTGGCAATAAAAAGAAGTGAGCACTAACACATACAACAACATGGATGAACCTTGGAAAAGGTGTGCTAACTGATAGAAGCCAGACACCGAAGAGCACATATTATATTATTCTATTTATAGGAAATGCCCAGAATGGGCAAATGTATATAGAGAGAAAGTAGATTTGTGGTTGCCTAGATTTGAGGAGCTTAGGGGGCAATCAAGAATGATGAATGATTATGGTTTTTTTGGGAGGAGGTGATAAAAATATTTCAAACTTGAATGTTGTGTGGCTTTGTAAGTATACCAAAAACCAGTGAATTGTACACTTTACATGAAGAATTGTATGGTATTTGAATTATATATCAAAAGAGCTGTTGTTAAAAGAGAAAATAGATAATTATTTCATGTTTTTTTCACCCTTCTTCCCCTAATATTAACATCTTGCTTATGTAACTATAATACAGTTATTAAAACTAAGAAATTAATATTGGTGCAGTGCTATTAACTGAATTATGGACATGTGTGTTTAAGATGTCCTTTTTCTGTTCCAGGATCCCATGTTGCATTTAGGTGTCACATTTCTTTATTAGCCCGTTTTCATACTGCTGATAAAAACATACCCAAGACTGGGCAATTTACAAAAGACAGAGGTTTAATTGGACTTACAGTTCCACGTGGCTGGGGAAGCCTCACAATCATGGCCTTTTCTTCTGCCCTAGGAGACTTTAATTGCTTGAGAATAGTGCAAAGCTCTCTTATTAGTTCCTCAGTCTCTTGGCCTTTGTCCCTGTTCTGCACTGTTTTCTTTGTTTTTGTTGTTGTTTTTGAGACAGAGTCTCGCTCTGTAGCCCAGGCTGAAGTGCAGTGGCATGATCTCGGCCCACTGACACCTCCGCCTCCTGGGTTCAAGTGATTTTTGTGCCCCAGCCTCCCCAGTAGCTGGGGCATATGCCTCCACGCCTGGCTAATTTTTGTATTTTTAGTAGAGAGGGGGTTTCACCATGTTGGCCAGGCTGGTCTCGAATTCCTGACCTCAAGTGATCCACCTGCCTTGGCTCCCCAAAGTGCTGGGATTACAGGCATGAGCCACTACGCCAGGCCCAAATGAATTTGTTAAGAATAGCTTTTAAATTGTTTTGTATTTCTTAACTTGAAATCCCTATAGCCTGCCTTTTCTTTTAGATTTGGTTCTGACTGCTTTGATATTCTAGGTATTCTGTGATCTACCAGCCTTTCCCCACCAATACTCATGCTTTTGTACCTACAACATGTTTTGTGTTTGACTTGTGCTTTCCATTTTCTTGTGGCATGGCTGTGTGATTTCTGTTCATTCTTTCTTCAAGTCTCTTCCCAAGCCTTATCGTCTCTTGATACCCTCCCTGATGACTCCCGCCCACTGACTTATCTTTCCTCTATAGATTCCTCTTGAAACTATTTTCTGTTGAAATAGTTTAAAATCATATCATGTACCTTTTTGTTTCCAATAATTTAGAATGATGTGTCTTTTTCTTCCTTTACAATAAGGTGTCAAGTTTTTGAAGGATTAGATCATCCTTACATTTTATTGTTTCTCTGAGTACTGTGTACCACTCTGGGTATGCAACTGTGCTGAATTGATAGCTTTTAGAGAATTGGTTTGGGTTTTTTTTCAAATGCTGATGATTTATAATATCAGAGTTACTTCTTTGTGTAAATGTGCCTACTGTCATGCCTGGTCTACAGTACTGCCCTTAGGAAAGGTTAGTTGAACCCAAATCATGTAGGGGATCCCAAATCAAAGAGTATTTATTATTCTACTGTTTCACGGGAAGTATAAAGTAATAGCAAATGCACTGAATCCAATTTGTCTCAGAAATACTCTGTCTACTGTCTTTTCTTTGAACCTCTTCTTAATCTGTCTCCTTAAGTATATATTACTAATTTATCTTTGACATTTTTAAATTTACTACCTTATGTAGTTTTTCTAAATAATTTATACTTGTAGATAGAGAATAATTGTATGTGTTAATTACAGCTTAAAAGAAGAGATTGGAATATTTTAGAAAGATTAATTCTTGTTAAAGCCTATCTAATTGATCTGTGTTTGCATTCTTCCTATCTGAGTCTCAAAATTTTCATAAAACGTCTATCAGTGAAAATATCATCAGTGTTAGCTGGAATTGAACTTAAGAACACATTTGACTATCCATAAAACCAGATATTGAAATGAATGAAGAACCCCTGGCTTAAGAAAATGGGGTCAAATTGGAAATGATATAACATTTTTGCTGGGCTGTAGATTTATTTTATCATTAATGACCTCTTAAAAAACCAGAATTGACTTTTAAAACGTGTTAAATTATTATGTTGAATACTACAGTTATTCTCCTGCCTCTTAAAAGCTTGTAAGGTGATTTGAGAATGTTTGATTTATATATGTTAACACTCCAGTTTTCTGAGTGGTGATATTGTTTCAACAGCCTGAAAAACTCTAAAAAATGTGGAAACCTGGCTTTAGAAAGAAATGTGCTAGCATTGTCTTACCCACTTTGTTTCAGGGACTGGTTCTTAAACAATGTTTATAGTTAGATAATCTGGAGTTAATTTTGTGTGTGTCGGTGAGAGTGAGAGCTTATGTGCTTAGGAGAGAGTTATTTACTTGGTTAACTAAAAGCAAAGTAGTAAAAAAGCAATTGTGTGAGGCAGGCACAACTTCAACAGTTTACATTGGTTTAAGTAATTTCATTTGAGGAGTGGTACCTTATTAAATCCTATCTTCTAAGCATAGTCTTATTTTTTTCCTAAGTTTCCTTATAATAAAATATAGTACTCTTACTTAATGGCTTTATATATGTTGGGGTCTTGTTCGGTGTTGACCTTTTTTATTTGCTTCACAGGTTGTTTGCATTCGCTCTACTTGGAATGCTCTCTCTCCAAAGCTAAGTTGTGACACAAGACCTCTCATTCTGAAGACACTGAGTGAACTATTTTCTCTGGTTCCTTCTTTAACAGTCAATACAACTGAATATGAGGTATGCATTTGGAGCTCAACACATTGCCTGCTTCTTCATTGGAAAGATGTGTGTTATAATAACTTTTGGAATAAACATTCCTAATCTTTTGTTGTTGTTCTGAGACCATGTTGATGTGTTTATGGACTCAGGAGTAGAAGGATAGCTCCTCATCAATCTTATGTCTAAAACTTATTTACACAAAGGATACCACCTTTTAATTATGAGCGTATTGTCAAGATTTTAAAGTCATTGTCGTAAAACTAGTGTTTCCAAAATAATAGAATTCATAAAGCCAACAATTTAAAATCATTTTTTAATGTTTTAAATTCTAAAAAATAAGCCACAAAGACATTAATAAAGGCAGGACAGACTCTCCAAACTTTGTGAATTACTCAGTGTTTGTCATTGTAATGAGTTGAAATACTTGGTGGAAGATTCTTTGTAATAAGATTCATATATTAGTGCTTAATATTTTCTTCATTATCTCTTCTTTGAGTGAAATACATCAGAGGATAGGGAATTACATTTATGCCTCTACGTTTGTAAACCATGTTTTTTTTCATGCTTGCCTTTTTCCTTTTCCCTCAAAGAGCAGCTGTTGATTTTCACTTGCAGTCTTGTTGAACTTCTCATTTGATTTAGTTTTTCACAGACTTTGATAAACTGCCATTCCAGCCATCAGATTCCAATAATAGTCCCTTATATATGTTAGATCATATGATTAAGACAGGCTTAGAAGATACTTCCGCTCATTCTAAATGCTGCACAATGAATAAAATCAAATTTAGCCTTACTGGCTATACAATACCTATCACAGTACCTGGTGCATAATCTGTATGTAGTAAGTAGTTGTTGAATGAATGAATCAATACAGGATATTTTAGTTTATTCTTACATGTAGCCTTTTTTTTTAGGGTCTTAAAAAAAGAATCAGTTTGTGACTCTGAGTATATAGTTCACCAACATTCTTTCTTATGGCTGCAGTTTACAGGCACATGCTCTTATATTGTCAGAGAGTCTGCAGGGCTACTGATAATGAGCTAAGACTAAAAGCCAATGTAAGGCCATATTGGGTGTATTTACTTTTTTTTTTCTGGGGCTAAAATCATATACCTTTGTGTTGCTTGTACCTTGAGTTAATCAGATTTTATTACAGGTTAATTTATGAGTTGGTTTGTGTGTTGGTTTTTTTGTGTTGGCGTATCCATGGTTGTGAATTATCTTTTGGACTAGATTTTTTTTTCTTTCAGATTTTACATTCTTTTCCTCTGGTATCTTATTTTGGTTGTCTTCATGCTTATATTAGGGTTCCTCTGTTGTTCAGGCAGACTGCTTTGGGGTCATTCTCTCCATCTTTTCCAGTCCATTTGAGGGGGGTGTCTCTTCAGTGAACATAGTCCCCTTAAAAGCAGAAGTGAAGAAATGTAGAAGGGAGAGACCCTCCTTCCTCCTCCCCCTTTTATCTGTGTGTGTTTAGATAATTGGTTTTTTAACTACTTAGAATTTGTTTGGATGTGAGCCAAAGTTGAATTTAATTTTTCCCAAAGCACTTCTTAAGTCATTTCTGTCCCTAGTAACTTCATTACCTTAAGTTTCCCTAAAATGTAGTCCAACCTGTTTACACCAAGTCCATAAAGCATTCTGGAATCTGGCCTCATTAGTGGTCTGTATCCTGCACTCCAAAAAAATTAAACCGCTTATAGTGTCCTTATCTTCCTCCAAACTTTTCCATTTATTTTCCTTTGTTCATATTATTCCCTCTATCTCAAATTACTTTCCTTTTCATCTTTAAATTAAAAATATATTTTAGGAAGAAAAGGATTGTTTTACCTCATCCCATCTTTTGAGAGTTTGTCTGCAAGCTGGAGTCTTTTGTTCCCAAAGTTCTTTATACTGTTCTAAGAACACTTACTCTATTTATACTACAGATATAGGTATGCATGTATTATTTTCCCCATTGAACTATAAGCTTATTGAAAATAGAGTCCATGATTTAATTATAGTGTATTTTCTGAATTGCTTTGCACAGTGCTTGCTTCACTTATTCATTGAATCAGAATATATTTATTAAAACTGCACTAGGTCTTAGAGATACTAATAAGTATAGTCAACCCTATTTTTAGTACCTATTCAATCCCCAGCACTCTTACCAGTTTATACCAATTAGTTTTAATATCTGATAGGAAGGTATCATTTTTTATTGTGTAGTTACAGGAACTAAAGCTTTGAGAGACCTATTTATTTGACAAATATTTATTGAGTATCTGCTATATTCTAGGCAAGTAACTTGACTCAGACTGTAGTTAAAAAGCTAAGTGAAAACTGATGTCTGAACCCGGGACTTTCTAGTTTCATATCTTTTGTTTTCACATTATACCATGTTATCAGTCCCTGCCTTCTAGAAGCTCAAAGGTAGTTAAAGGAGACAGATATGAGTGATGATAATTATAATAACATTTGATGAGCACAGTTAATTAAAGAGCAATGAGAGTATGGTGGAGAAAATGACAAACATTCTTATCAAGAATCCAAGGAAATTATTTATGTGTGCTATTGGACTTGGAACTGGAAGAATTAATACACTGTTGCTTCCCACTGAAGTTTGGGGACTAGAATAGGCAAAGGCAAGGAGGTATAGAGGAACCTAATATGATTTAGAAGGGCAAAAAGTTAGATGTGGTGGCAATGAAGACCACCGACTGTTGGAAGGTAAATGGCTTTTATGCTCAATCAATTATTTAATACACATTTGTCTTCTTTGAGGAACTGTGTGGGCTCTGTGGTCTAGGTCTTTGAAATGAAAAACACACAGTCACTGCCTTAAGTGTTGTACAACCTCATAGCGAGTTAGTCATGATAGATGCTGAGGTGTACCATGTGCCGTATGGCCACTTGGAGAAAGGAAAACTCTCTTCTGGGTAGGCTAGAACAGTGGCATGAAAGAGTGACATTTCTGTTAGTACTTGAAGGGACTAAGAGTAAGAAATGGTTAGGTTTCTAAATTTCATAATTTTAAAATCTTAATGTGTTTAAAATATCCATGTGCTTAGAAGATGAGTTTGTTTCTGAATATTTACATTTTATGAATGATGGGTGAATACACATCAAGGGAATTTCTGGTGATGTTATTTTAAAAGTGACTTAATTTTCATTATTTGCTACTTTGGATTGTTTATTCTCAGTTTTAGCTTGGTCTTAACAATGTATTCTTTTGTTTGTTAACTTTTCAGAATTTTAAAGTTCAAGTCCTCAGCTTTCTCTGGACTCATACTCAAAACAAGGTATTATCACAAGGCTTGTCAGTGAATCAGAACAAAGCTAGGGAAATAATTTTGAAATTTGTAAAATAAGACTGTTAGGATAAAAGGTACAACTGTCTTGAAATAATGGGTTCCCAATTTTTAAAAAACATGATGATTCATAAGTTTTGGTTTTAAAATTATTCTCAATTGATGCCCATTAATACATTTTTACCATAAAGTGCACTTAATACTTGGTGAATCTGACAGATGGGAAGAGGAACTGTTGATATTATTTTATATTTTTATATGGTCTTTCCCTTTTCCTGCTTTGCCCTGTCCCCACCAACAAGCATACCAAAGAAACAAAAAGTCCAGTCCATCTTTTAGATGTTGTTACCAATCAAGGATTATATATGGAGACTGCTGGTGGTGTTATACCTAACTCATGGATGAATGAGTTTAGATTCCAAAAGGCTAACTTGTCCTATTAATAGGCAGAGAATCGAATCCAAACCTAGGCCTATCAGACAGTAATTCCTTATTCCTCTTCTGCTAAATCATACTACTTCATGGAGACTTGAGCAATTATGAGTTACTTTATATTTAATGTTCAAACTAGGATAAAAATTTAGTATTTTTGATCTCCTTGCCCATTTTTAATTGGGCATATTCTCCAGAAAAATATTTAATGCTGATAATTTTTTCCAATTGTTCTTACTTCCCTTCGCAGACCCTTTCACTTTTTTTTGCAATATTTTCTTTTGAAACGAGGATTAAATTTCTTGCTCTCTCTTCTGAAATTGCTAGTAAATACACTTTTGGCGTAGGCAAAGCGTTAATACCATTTTCAAAGCACTGACTGTAGAATCTTGGGATTGGTGGGGAAGGTTTCTTTCCCCCTCCAGATTTGATGTTTAATGTATGTTGTGCTTTTTTGTTCGCTTGCTTTTTTTTTTTTTTTTTTTTAAACCCTATCTAGGACCCAATTGTAGCAAATGCTGCGTATAGATCCCTGTCCAACTTTAGTGCAGGAGAACACACCATTCTTCATCTGCCTGAAAAGGTAGGCATATCTGCTTTCTCACTGGTATTTCTTAATTTGCTAGGGTTTACAACTTTGTCTGTCTCATCTTAGGAGATCCTTACCTGATGAATATATATGTAACCCTAGATTTGTTGTCCATGCAAGATAAAAATTCATACCCATTATTTGTTTATCTATAAAAGACTGCAGAGGTTTGAAGCAGACGGAAGACACCAATGATGCAAATGAAATCTTAAGTTGACTGGGTATGTGACTTGCTCCAGATCTGAGTCACTCATAGGAATCACTTTGCCTAGTTAGTATACCATCCTGGACTTTAATCCAAGCACGGCCTTCATAGACTAAGATTTTATACCACATGTGCAGCCAAAGATCTCTATTTGTGATAAAGAATGTGATGCCATATGAAAAAATCTGCTTTTTTTTTTTTTTTTTCTTTTTTAGTATATATTAAATGGTATATAGGTTAGCACCAGAAAACTGGATGAAGAAAGTATCACTCTGTTTTAAGGGTTAACACATAGTGTGATATTATCTTCGTTTTTAGACTAAACTAAACACATACAACCTTTTCTAGTATTTGCCTATTATAATCAGCTTTAAATTAGTAGATCCTATTAAGGGGTTAAATATCTGATTTCTTATTTAGTGCCAGTATGAATTCAAGTGCATACAGATGTTTACTGAATGCCTCTGAAGTGTCAAGCAGACATTGTGTTAGATGAAGTTACATGTAACATTACTCAGAATCTGTCTTTGAGGTTAAGTGGCAAGAAGGTTTGGTGTGAATTCCTTGGGATCCTCAGGCATTAAAATGGGTTTGACTTTTTCTTCTGGATTCCGTTTACACTGAGATTAGATGCCAGTAGGAACCAGGCAAACTTCTGTTTACTAAATTGAATTGGAGCCACCATATAAAAAGGATTGAAAATAGGCTCTTGTAAAACCATTTCCTAAGTCAGGCAGGATTTCCTATGTCATTGAGGACTTACAAAGACAGACTGACCACTTGACATGCAGCGATCACAAATGGGAAAACTTAAGTAAAGATGTTTTATGACTCATACAATTAAAAAGGTGGGACTTCAGACTGCACTGTGGTAACTAGCAATACCCATTGTTGCTTTAAAAAAGAAAAGAAAAGGAAAAAAGCTACATGTAAATTTGATATGCAAACACCTGCCAATAGATTAGCTACAGCATCTGGAGAGGTACCTTTTATTCTTGTTTTTAATAGGCAATTATTCATTTAAATCACAACATAAAAATTACCTTTATTTTTACCTTTTGTTCCTAAAATAGTCCAGCTGGAGTAATAGCTTTTCTTAAATAACTCCAGCATACTCTTGACATTTAGTCTCTACCTTTTAAAATATTGACATGTTTATATATATTTTTTTCTGATTTTGGGTTTATATTCAATTTCCAATTATGTTTGCAAGAGTTTATAAGTGCTATACTCAGTCAAATGTTAGCTACTTCCTTAATCTAACTCTTCTAAACTCTTTGATCCCTGAATAGCCATAAATAGCTCTTTATATCTTCCACATAAATGGTAAATGTACTTAGAGTTGGGGTTTTCTATATATGTTTGGGTTTTCAGCATGAGAGTGAAAAGAGCTATAAAGGAAAGCTATAAGGCTTATCCTTTTGTAGCTATGCTTTTCAGCTTTTTTTTTTTTTTTTTTTCCCTGCCCTAATCCCCTTCTGGGATATGACCCACTCCAAAAAGTAACAATAGCTCGCTGCAGTGGATATTCTGAACTGAGGTTGAGATGAGGGGTATAAGTGGTTTGAAAGAGTCTTCCTCACTCTGACCCCAGCTTCTGATACCGAGGACCTATCTCTTTATGGAGAATCATTGCTTCTAAGACCACATCATGCATTCTTCTTCTTTTCATTGATTGCTACATTTCAGTTTGGCTGTTCGAACACCTAAAGACTAAAAGTCTAGAAAGTGTTCAATGTATTCATATCCCAAACAAGTCCCCAAAGGCTAAGGATATAGCCTGGTCGGTGCTTCACCTTAGTTTTGTAGATGTGACACTATAAAACAGTGATGTGAAACTGCAGCTCGTTTTTCTATAAAAATGTATTTTCAAATGTTTTGGAAGTTCCTATCAAGTGGGACTTCTGTAATGTAGAAACTAAGATTCTTTGTTGACAGACATTACTCTGCACTAAGGGCAATTGGTTTACACACAAGACTTAAGGTTATCTATTTTTCCAGTGAAAATGTGTCCATATTCTCTCTTCTTACCTATGGAAACTTGTGACAAACTTTTGAGCCCATCGTGAATTTCAAATAGAACTTATATATA